TGAAAGTGTGCTGTGAACTGTTGACCCTACTTATCTCCATTGTTTCTTTAAATCAGAATTGCTCTTTAAAAAAGAACTGGTTAACCATAGGAAGGGGCTTTTCATAACTTGGAGGTTTACCAATTGTGTAAGCTTTATTTTAATTTTGAGCATATCATACTGTCAGAGGGTGGCTGGTCCCTTAAGGCCCTAATCCTACCGTTGACAAGCTTCACTCCTCTCTTCAGGATGTAGGTCATGTAACTGGTGGGTCAGGAGACCCAATCAGACCTGCAATAGATAAGGAAGAGGCTGGGAGAGCAAAGGGGCTGCAGGTGGATGTTAGCAGATGGAGAAGTACTCCTGCCGTGGGGGAAGACACCAGCTCAATATGTAACAGGGAGTGCACTTACCCTGTAGCACCACCTGTTGGCCAAGTGTGGCTCTGCAGCACTCTGCCTCTGTTTCCCCTTTACTCAGGTTCCTCAATAACTCTACAAAGGCTTGTATCCATTCAATGCCCCTTTTTGGGGGTCAGGTTTATTAACATAAAATAAACACAAAAATTAAGTTTTTTCTGTCGCAGTCTCAGAGAGGGTCAGTCTTTTTAAAGTTCCTTTTTTTCACCCATGTCCCATGCTGGGCATAACCCCTCCTTCTAGAGGGTCCGCCTTCTTTCTCTCTGAGCACTTCTTACCTGTCATTTGACCCTGTCTGCCTTCTCCACAGGCCTCCTTCCCCAGCAGAGTCTCTCCCGCTGACTCAGTGCCCGGCAGCAGCCTTATTAGTCCCTGCAGCATCTACAAGCATCTACCAACACCCACATACAGCCCCTTCTCTCCCCAGCCTCTTCTTTATTTACCACAGGCCTGATTGGGTCCTCTGACCCACCAGCCATATGATGAGAGATAAGCTTGTCACAGGTGGACTATGGCCCATCTCCCTTTAAGGGGCCACCACCTGTGACTCGTACATTCCAATTTGTGTAAGACTTAATATCCTAAATTAGATGTTGGTACTCTGAATGAGATAACAACCTTCCCACCTCACTGAAGAAAAATACTTCTGTGTATGAGACAGGACCTCTTACAAAAGTACCCGCTTGTAGCATGTTGTGTTGGATGCAGTATTCTCAAATGGAATGAATTCCCAGAGCCTGATTCCACAGCTGCTGCATGCAAGCAACTCCTATTGAAGGAAGTGAGAGTTGTTCCCATGCAGCAGCTGAAGAAGTGGCCTTCCAGCGAATGCAGTATGCATGCCAATTCTTGGACTTTTGCAAGGGGCAGCTGTGTGGAGAAGAGAGAATCCAGTTAAAAATACCCAAATCCAGTCTTTGGCTTTTATCTTAATCTTGTTTTTTTGTTTACAATTCAATAGACTGTCTGTCAATCTGATGCTTGTGAAATCTCAGTAAGTAGCACAATGCTTCTAGATCACTTGCTGCACCTGTGCTTTGACCAGAAAAAAATTGTGTTGATGATGCTCACCTTGCAACACAGCAGAGAAGGGCTGTATGCATGAGTCCTTTCACTGGATAAATTGATAGATCACCATAGCAATAGGAACATGGGGTTTTAAGTGGAAAAAGAAAAGGCCCAGCAGACCACACATAACCTGATGAAACTATGACTGTCAAAAGTGTTGATTTATATTCATCCAAGGGATCATTAGTAAATTCAACAATGGCACTTTGAGTGCACATCAAAACTTGAATTCCCAGGCTGATATCTCTTGATTTAATTTTTTTAAGGAAAGGCTGAAACTATTACTCCCGAGGGCATTCTGTGCCAAAAAATTAAAAATCCTGCTACAAAAAAAATAAAAATTCTGCACACAATATTTTAAAATTCTGCAAATTTTATTTGTCAAATAAATGTGGAGGCTCCAGCATGGCACTGGGGAACACAGGCCACTGGCTGCACAGAGGTGGGAGATCACTGTGCAGCTCCTCCTTCTCCTCCTCCCCCCCCCCACGGGGACACAGACTCAGTGGTGAGGACCCAACCCAAGGACCACGCCTACCCCAGAAACACCTCAGGGCCCTGCCTCTCCATGCCAGGTGCACCAGGTATGGGCAGGCAGGCTCAGCAAGGCAAGATCCAAGTGTGGAGAGACTTAGTGTGGGGGATCCACGTGTGGGTTGAGAGGGTTCTGTGTGGGGGGATCCACATGTGGGGCAATCTGGGTGTGGAGGGGATCTGGATGCACAGGGGCTTGTTGGGGGATTTTGTGTGCAATGGTAATGGGACTCTGCAGGGAGGTCTAGGTGAATGAGTTTGGGGCTCAGTGGGGGGGTGTCGGGGTGTGGGGGGTCCAGATGCTGGGGGAGTGGGACACAGTGGGGTGGGGATCCAGGTACAACTGGTTGGGGCTCGGTGAGGTGGGGATCCGGGTGTGGGTGGCTCATTGGTGTGGTCCAGGTGCAGAGGGAGTGGGGCTCATCGGGGGGGTTCTGAGTATGGGGGGCTGAGGCTCAGTGGGAGGGTCTGGGTATGAGGGGGTCTGGATGCACGGGGGTTGGGCAGATGGGGGAGCAGCTACCTGTTCAGGGATTCCACACCCTGCAGCTGAGGAGCAATGGGTGCAGGAAGCGGGGTGGTGGGAGGGAGGGAGTTTGCAGAGCTTCCTGCAGCTGGGGGAGAAATCTGGGGGTGGGTCTGGCCTGGCCCTGGATGCTGTGCAGGGGAAGAGGAAGTCCCGTCCTCCCCAGTCCACACTACCAGCTGAGCCGGGCACAGGATAGGAACCACCAGCTGGGTCTTCCCCAGTCCTGCCTCCTGCCCCACAGTGATTTACCTCTCTGATGGTTGCCCTGGGCACCCGAAACATACTGTTGAGGAGAGTCGCATGACCGCTCTTGTGGCTTCCCTTTGTTTTCCCGTCAGAAAGTAGTAGGACAAGAAGTAATGGGCTTAATCTGCAGCAAGGGAGATTTAGGTTAGATATTAAGAACTTTCTAACTGTAAGGGTAGTTAAACACTGGAATATGCTTCCCAGGGAGGTTGTAGAATCCCCATGCCTGGAGGTTTTTAAGCACAGGTTTGGTGAACATCTATCAGATTTAGGTTTACTAGGTCCTACCTTGGCACAGGGGGCTGGACTTAATGACGTATCAAGGTCCCTTTCAGCCCTACATTTCAATGATTCTATGAAGTAATACTGGCTGAGTGGGAATTATTTTGTAGTTTTAATTATTACATGAATCTCAGTTGGGCCAGTTGATGTTTTCAGATTTTCCCCATCGTATTTATGTATTACTATTCTTTTTCCCCAGACATAATGTTGCCATTAAGCCACAGTCAGCTTCAGGAATTCAGAAATTTGGGAGAAACTTTATTTAATTTTGATAATGTTTTCCAGAGTTCTAAAGTGTTGCTAATGTTTGAAGGGAGATAACGAACTATAGCAGAGACAGTTGAGAAACTAAGATACTGCGAGAGCATGATGCTGCGATACCCTCTATACTGTGACATTGTTGGGCTTTGATAACAATGCATGGCTGTTTTTTTAAAAAGTTGCTTCTCTGCTGCTATATTTAGATAGACACTATTGTATGTTGTACTGCCTGCAAATATAACTTACGGCTCTTTGAAGAGTAGACTAACTGCACTGAGTGAATCTGATTTGCAGTGTGCTTCAGCATGAAAAAAGAGAGCTTGATGGAAACGAAAGGTCATCTGTGAGAAAGGATGGGAGAATAAGGAAAGATAATTTGGCAGGGAAGAGTTTTATAGGGCGAGTAATAAAGGATGGGAAGAGGGGCTGAAGAGGAAATGAAGGTGGACAAAGACTAGAGGATGGATTGTACCGAAAGAGAAGGAAATGAAATTGATATGAAGGGTTGCCTGGAAGAAAGGATGACAAATTGCTCAGAAAGAAATGTGGAAGGCTGAGTTACTAAATAAGGCTTGTCAAAAGGGAAGAGACTTGTTGCTGGAGAAAAGGTGGATTGGAAGGGAGTAGAACTGATGGATGATTTTGAAAGAAAGAGGCAAGAAATAGTGTAGAGTTGGTCTTGGAGACTGAGGAAGGAGGAGTAGTAATGAGTGGTCAGGGTCTGGAGGGTAGGAAGAGGAGACAGGAAGCAATGTAAGGGGCATAGGGCATTCAGTGAGGAAGGATTGTCTATGTAAGATTAGGTTTGGAAGGAGAGTGGTGAAGGAAGGGATGAACAGATACAGAGATGGACAGATTGTCTGAAAAGGGGAAATCACCTGGATTGTAAACACTCTTTTGGCACCTAGATTGTAATCTCATATTTGTTTGTAAAATGCCATGCAGGTTCATGGTGTTTTACAAATAATTAATTATAAATGAGGCTATCTGGTCAAAAAGGGAGGACTTAGAAAAACTACTCCAATTTAGAACGAAACAGGGTTTTCCCATCAAATATCCCCATCTCTTCATTTATTATATGTAACCTTCATGATAATCCTTCTGACTTGCATGCTAAAGTCAATGGGAGAATGATTGGAAGAGATTTATTATTTTAAAAGCAACCGTGACAGCAACATAAAACATTTGTCTATCTATGGTACTTTTAAAGTCCCCCTAACTATGTTATCTGAGTGCCTCACAATCTTTTATGTATTTATCCTTACACCATCCATAGGGTAGAGAAATGCTATTCTCTCCATTTTACAGGTGGGGAGCTGAATCACTGAGACTAAGTGACTTTCCCAGGGTCGCACAGGAAGTCTGTGGCAGGGCAGGGAGTCTCCTGAGCCCCAGGCTAGCACCCATGCCTTCACATATACTCCCTATCCTTTAGTCTTCACCATGATATAACCTGTGGTCTCAGCTAGTGTCATGTGGTCTTATATGGTTTCTCAGCTGAGAAACAATGGAGTAAGGAATTATCTCATATACAGCAATACACTGCATCAGAACTATTGATTTAATTATATTTATAGCTCTCTTTCTCCAAAGAGCACTCTAATAAGTGTCTATGGGACATGCTGAGAAACTGCAGTGCCAGTGTGTTTTGGAATAAGGTCATTTAATCTTTTTAATTACAGGTTCCATTACAGCTTATAGAAAGTGTTGAATGCCGAGATATATTTCAACTTCATTTGACTTGCAAAGACTGCAAAGTTATCAGGTATGTACAAACTACTTTGCAGGTGGAAGGGTTGCTTCATCCAGGAAAGTATGAAATCTAAGCAAGGTAACCTTGCACTTCTTCAAATTATGGATGGCTGCAGCATTTTAGGGGAAATGTCCCCTCTCTTCCACCTCCCCACCCCCACTTTTTGTGCACATGCTTTCTCCAAAAGATTCCTTCTGTTCTTGCTGTGTACTGTAGCTGAACATTTTAGGAAGGAGGATGGTGGTTACTGGGTCTGCATTCTTGTAGTACAATATATTTTTTAGAAATCTTTACTATGCTGGAAATTGATCAGCCAAATAGCTTTGGTCGTAGAGATGTTCTAGCCCTATTGAGCAATACATTTTTTAAGATTATTTTGAAATTAATTTCAGTTTCATGTGGTTTTCCCCAGTGTAACAATGGTCTCACCAAGATACAAAACTAGACACAAATCAATAAATCATACAGCTTCTTAGACAAAAGCATTAGATCCTAAACTGGCTATCTGGGACTCGAGACTGCTGCACCTTTGTGCTGCTGTGCAAGGATGAGGGAAGGAGTAAGGACTGCTCCCCTTGTGTAGGCCATGTGAGAGTTAGTCACAGTTACACTTCCAGCACTTGTGGAGATATGGGGGAGAAATGGGAAGAGAGGGTATAGGGATGAGGCAGATCCATGGCTCCACCCTCCTTCCCTCACCCCCCGCCCCCCTCCACACTCACTCATTGGTCAGTGCAGCAAAATAGAGCTATATAATTGAAAAAGAGGTAGTAAATTACTCTCTCCACCACCGCCAGTGTAGCCAGGGAGCCCCAGAGACTTTGTGCTTCTCTGAGGTCTATTTCCCAGGCTTCAATAGGATAAATTAATACTGGCTTCTAAGCGTTAATTAATGACAAGGGAACATATCTTTCAATTAAACATTTGCTAGCAGTACTTTTTGTACAGTGGAATCAGGGCCGGCTTTAGGAAGTGCGGGTCCCGATTCGAATACCCAGCGGCGGTCCGGGTCTTCGGCGGTACTTCGGCAGCAGGTCCTTCACTTGCTCCGGGTCTTCCGCGGCATTGAAGGACCCGCCGCCGAAATGCCGCCAAAGACCCGGAGCGAGTGAAGGGCCCGCCGCCAAAGTGCTGCCGAAGACCCGGACCGCCGCCGGGTGAGTAAAAATTAGAAAGGCACCTAAGTTAGGTGCTCTTCTTTAGGGCGCGGGGCCCTCTTAGGTGCGGGACCCGATTCGGGGGAATCAGCCTAAAGCCGGCCCTGAGTGGAATAGCACCAGCCCCCACATGTTGGACGCAGAAAATGTAACATGCCAACTGCTTCCTGGGCCATAGCATTGTGTTGAGGACTGATTTGATTTTGTAGGTCATAGTTGGTTGTTCAGCTTGAATTATATATTTAACTTTCTCTTTAACCTGTAGCTCTTAATGTTTTCAGATTTAGCTTTTCTCTCTAGATCGCATGTATTTGACTTTTCTCTCAGTTGTAGAGTCAATACTAGCTATTTAGCCTGCATTAGGAAAATTGGTTTCACTCTCCCTACAAAATTCCCTTCAGAAACGATAGCTCCAAAAATTATAACTTGCTATATTTTATTTTCTTTCCTTGGACTGTTTTTGGAAAGGCTTCAAAACAAAGTTCTGAAATATGCTTTCATGCACTGAGCCAGTAGAAGGCAGTGTGCTCTAGACCTGATGTACCAAATGCATGCAGGGTTAAAAAAGGGAAGGGTTTAAAACATGCAAACTATATTTTTCATGGGAAAAATACAGTCTTTTAATTTGTAATTATAATGTTGAAATGAAACTAGTGATGGGGTGATTAGTACCAATTTTATATGAATGTCTCTACAGAATGCAGGACTCAGAATCTGCAAAGTCAAGACCTTAATTAATTTAGGGGACACAACTGCTGTGTTTAACCATCAGTGCAACCGGAGTATTATCTGGATGACATTCAGATAAAATTGGTACTAATCACCCCACCACTAGTTTCATTTAAACATTATAATTACAAATGAAAAGACTATTTTCCTCATGAAAAATATAGTTTGCATGTTTTAATCCTAAGAGTAAATTTTATTTATGTACTCTGGGGCCACCTGTTTATAACTGTAAACTCCTTAATAAATTTGTACAAATTTGGGCAAACCCTTATTTCACCATGCTTGTTCTGAGTCCTATGCCATAGTGAACAGGTACCAATTTGGAAATGCTAAGCTACTGTTGTAATTATAGAATATTATTTTGCAGACTAGTGGCTCTTGTGTTCAGGATACTCTAATTAGTCTTCCATTACTGTTTCTTTCCTGCTGTAATGTGAAAACAAAGCTCAAATGAAAGAAGCATTGTTTATACTTGCCCTCTGGTAAAATATTAGTAAGAGAAGAAACAGTTTAGCATTTGAGGGAGGTGTAGGACTACAGACACTGTGACTTGTCCACCTTGGTTTGAAGTAAGTTCATTGTTCAAATGGAATACAGTATTTACTCTGTATCTGATCAGAAAATGTGTTTTTGTTTGTAGGGATACACATTAATAGATTGCAGTTTATGTTATGTATTTCTGTTTTGACTCCCTTTTGAGGCCCTGATTCAGCAAGATACTTTAAACACATTCCTTACTTTGAGTATGTGAGTAGGCTCATTGAATGGGACTACTCATGAGTTTAGACATGTGCATAAGTACCTTAATGAATCAGGGCCCGAGCAACTAGGACAAGATAATACTGGTTTATTTAATAATTCCAAAATTATGCTCTTTATACATCGGGCCCTACCAAATTCACAGCCATGAAAAACACGTCACAGACCGTGAAATCTGGTCTTTTGTGTGCTTTTACCCTATACCAGGGGTCTGCAACCTTTCAGAAGTGGTGTGCCGAGTCGTCATTTATTCACTCTAATTTAAGGTTTCGCGTGCCAGTAATACATTTTAACGTTTTTAGAAGGTCTCTTTCTCTAAGTCTATTAATATATAACTAAACTATTGTTGTATGTAAAGTAAACAAGGTTTTTAAAATGTTTAAGAAGCTTCATTTAAAATTAAATTTAAAATGCAGAGCCCCCCGGGACCGGTGGCCAGAGCCGGGCAGTGTGAGTGCCACTGAAAATCAGCTCGCGTGCCGCCTTTGGCACACGTGCCATAGGTTGCCTACCCCTGCCCTATACTATACAGATTTCACGGGGGAGACCAGCATTTCTCAAACTGGGGGTCCTGACCCAAAAGGAAGTTGCAGGGGGTTAGCCAGGTTATTTTAGGGGGGTTGCGGTATTGCCACCCTTCTGCACTGCCTTCTGGGCTGGGAAGCCAGAGAGCGGCGGCTGTTGGCTGGGCGCCCAGCTCTGAAGGCAGTGCTGCGCCAGCAGCGGCGCAAAAGTAAGGGTGGCAATGCCATACCATGCCACCCTTACTTCTGTGCTGCTGCCTTCAGAGGTGGGCAGCCAGAGAGTGGCAGCTGCTGGCTGAAGGCCCAGCTTTGCAGGCAGCAGTGCAGAAGTAAGGGTGGCAATACCATACCATGCCATGCTTACTTCTGCGCCACTGTTGGCGGCGGTTCTGCCTTCAGAACTTGGCTCCTGGCCAGCAGCCGCTGCTCTCCAACTGCCCAGCTCTGAAGGCAGCGCCACTAGTAACAGCAGCATAGAAGCAAGGGTAGCAGTACCGCAACCCCCTCTACAATAACCTTGAAGCACCCCCCCCCCCCACCACACACACCTCCTTTTTGGGTCAGGACCCCTACAATTACAACACTGTGAAATTTCAGATTTAAATAGCTGAAATAATGAAATTTGCTATTTTTAAATCCTATGACCATGAAATTGACCAAAATGGACCATGAATTTGGTAGGGCTCTATCTATACATATGGTTTAATTTGACTTCATGTTTGATATATCTTTCAGTATGATGTTAGCAAGAATCACAGACCATTTTCTTTACAATGATGATGAATTTTTCCCTGGTTATTGTCCCTGTGGAAATTCAGAGAGCCAAATCATAGGCAAATACAAAAGATATAAGGTTATGGGGGAAGGACAACTCCCTAGGATAATTACATTACTATCTGAATAATTATTTTTACTATCCATTACAGTTTACACAACAGCAACTGAAATAGAAAGAACAGTTTATTCTCATCTCTGGTTTGCACAGAGGTTAATCACTCATCACATTTTATGACCTGATATCTCTGCATGAAAATTAATAAATTATGTTTGGTTCTGGGACAGGTGTCAGTTCTCTACCTTTGAGCAATGTCAAGAGTGGCTTAAGCGACTGAACAATGCCATTCGCCCTCCTTCGAAGATAGAGGACCTTTTTTCATTTGCATACCATGCTTGGTGTATGGAGGTGTATGCCAGCGAAAAAGAACAGCATGGGGATTTGTGCCGGCCAGGTATGCAGAAACACTTTGCCTATCCCAAGAGATACTTTGGCCTTTAGCTGCCTGTCTGCTGCCCCTTTATCTTGTGATTCCTGGAATGCAGAATTCGTGAGCTTGCAAAAAAGTGTATTGACAAAGTGTGAATTCTGTGCTAATGTTACCCTTTACTTGAATACCCAGTTTTAAACAACTTCACATGAATTGTCTAACTGAAGTACTGTATTAACTTTGTGCTCTTATAAGGTGACCCTTCGCCAGTCCAACATTGGTATTATCATGTCAGACTTCCATGTGTGCAAACTCTTAACATTTGTTCTCACCAAGATCTCGGGGGGGCTGTGTATGAGTTAACCAAGCAGAGCTGGTGTATGGGAGTTGTGAAGGATCCTTTTGCCCCTTGAGATCCAGGTTTGAATCCTCACTCATGTCCCAATTAGAATTGAGTTTAATTTCATTCTGGTTCCCATTTGTACCCATTAAAAACTCACAAAATTTAACACAGTTAAATGTAAATGGCAATTTCTGTTCAGTTGGGGTCCAGGATATTGCCAATCAAGTTTCATTTAAATTGGCACTGTCATGTGGAGAAAGCCTGCATAACTCTTTCTCCCATTTTCTTTCTTCAGCCAGCACTGTTAGCACTTTATTTTCATGAATGCTACACTCACCTATAGATTAAAATAGAGAAATAGCTAAATAACAAAAGAAAAATAGAGAACTCTCTTTCTTCCAAGCTGAATATCCCAGAGTAGAAACAGTGGTGGTTCTTCGAGTAGTGTCCCTATGGGTTCTCCACTGTAGGTGTGCTTGTGTCCCTGCACTGCAGATCAGAGAACTTCCGTAGCAGTGTCCCATTGGCCCATGCATGCACTGTCTCCCTTCCTGACCCGCCTCGATGCTAGTCAGTGCACTCATCCTCTTCCTCAGAGATCTCCCTATCCATTAACAAGGCCATTCTGGACCCGCCAAGGACTATCAAGCAGACCCCAGCACTCGTGGTACCTAATTGCAAACGGGTGGACAAAAAATATTATGTCCCAGCGTGGGAGACTGAGTTCCTCATCTCCCACCCTCCACCCAATTCCATTGTGGTGGACGCTGTTAATTCCCATGGCTGTCAGTACCTGATGAGGTCCACTCCCTATGATAGAGACTGGAAGTGTTTGGACCTTTTCGGAAAGAAGGTATACTCCTCAGCCATGCTTCAGTTTCGAATCACCAACTACCAAGCCCTGATGGTGAAATATGATTATGTAAATTATTCTAAGCTGATTTTACTGAGCTGCTGCCTGAGTCACATCGCAACCAATTTAAGGCCATTATTCAAGAGGGACAGTTAATAGCAAAAACAACGTTACAATCTGCCCTCAATGCAACCAACACAAGGGCCACATCCATCTCCATGGCTGTGGTGATGCGACGTGTTTTATGGCTCCATCTCTTGGGCTTCCTGAAGGAGGTACAGTCAACCGTCAAAGACCTTCCCTTTGAAGACGCTAAACTCTTTGCAGAAAATATTGGTGCCTTTCTTCACACCCTAAAGGATTCTTGAGCCACTCTTCATTCGCTGGGTATCTATACACTAGGACAAAAGAGGAAGTTTAGTCCAGAGCCCTAGCACAAACCACACACCTCCCAATATCCAGCTCAATGCTAGTACAAGCTGCAGAGGAAGAAAGAATACATTTTCAAGGTGTAAACCATCTGGCCCGCAACGTGTCTCGTCCCAGGTGTCTACATCCAATCTCCAATTTTGACGTGTTGGTCAAGGCATCGATAGACTCCCCACAACTGCTGCAGCCAACCACGGCTATCCACCATTTGGCCACCGGTTGGCAGCATTCTGCAGCACCTGGGAATGCATAACATCGGAACAATGGATCCTAGAGATTGTTCACAATGGGTACTCTATCCATTTTACTTCTTCGAGTGATTACTCCTGTGTATTCCACAGTAGGTGTGCGTGCTCGCCACGTGCACCGGTGCTGGAAGTTTTTCCCTTAGCAGTACCCGTAGTGGGGGAGCACCGCTGCGACCCCTGGAGTGGCGCCTCTATATCACGCTATAAGGGGATCTGTGCACGCCCCCCACCCTCAGTTCCTTCTTGCCGCCAGTGAAGGTAGTCGGAACTTCGTGCTCCAGCTCTGCTGTAGCATTTCTAGCCTTAGTTGTACAACTCTTCTTAGTAGTCTGATTCTCTAGTTAGTTGCCTGGCTCGGGGCATGGCCCGTGCCCCAGGCTTCAAGTCGTGCGACTCCTGTCGCAGTTCTATGCCCAGAAGCGACCCACACTCTCAGTGCCTTCGCTGTCTGGGCGAGACTCATGTAAGTGAGCGTTGTAAAATTTGCAGATCATTCAAACCAAGAACGAAACGTGAAAGGGATATCCGTCTCCGGGCCCTACTAATGGAGTTGGCATTGGCCCCGCACCGGCATGCCAACCCAACTCGGTGCCGGGCACGTCGTCGGTGCGGAGCGACGCCCCATCAACCAGTCGGCACCGCTCCCCCGCTAAGAAGCAAGGGAAGACTCAGCGGTGCCGAGAGAAGGACAGGGGTGAGGCCACAACCGAGTTGGGCAGCCCACGATCCCCCTCGGGACCCAGACCTCCGACTCGTGCTGAGCGGAGTAGTCTGGTTCTGTCCACGCATGCCTCTCCTGCGGTGAGAATACCATCGACGCCGGAGGCAGCACAGGCAGCGCGTGACATCCTTGCCCTTCTGGTGCCAGGCGCGCCGCCCGAGAGAGGCCCTCGCTCCCGAGGGAAGCCGCCGCTGGGAGCTCATCAACCCTCCCCGGTCCGGCATAGCCCTCGTTCCGAGGATGAAGTGCCTACCTGTTCTGCGAGGCCATCTCATAGCCCGTGTCAGACTTCCACTCCATTGGCCGATTTGCCTGAGAGGGAGTCCCTAGCGTCCTCCACTACCCAGAGGGGTCGCAGGCACCGAGACAAGAGGTGTCAACGCACCTCTTCCTACCGGAGTTATAGGAGCAGGTCTCGCCGCCATCGGCACCGACGCTCAGATTCGAGTGTTCGCACTGACAGGCGTAGTTCGCGAAGCACCCCTCGGCCGTCACTGGCACTGAGGCGTCGTAGCCATGGTCGCCGGGGGAATCTGGAAGCAGTACCTCTGACGGGTATAGGTCTTCTTCGTCGAGATCTAAATCTCGAGGCTGGCACCAACACGGCCGTGGACACTCCCATCGCTCGTACGGTACCATGCGCTCTTCGCGACTTCGGCTTCGGCACCCAGCCGCCCATCCCCAGGCCGCGCCATCCCACACGATCAAGCGGCTCCGCTAGGTCCCCAAATGGGGCACTGGCAAGGGGCACCCTGGCAAGGGCAGTGGTGTCAGTGGGCACCTTGGCCCCAACTACCAGCACTGACGAGACCCCGTTCGGTGGCTGGGGAATCGCAGGTACATTTGACGTCCCCGCCTCGGCACCGGGAAAAGTCAATGGGCACCGAGACAGCGGCACCGCACCCGAGCTCGGACTTGGGGGTTGAACCGCCGGTACCGGCCAATGCCCTGGGGGCAGATCCGGTCCCGGCACCGGAGGAATCCATTGCGGTGCCACCACCCGCCTTGCAGAAAGATTTTAAGGCTCACCAGGAGCTCCTTAGGCAGGTCGCCTCGAATCTCCAGCTCCAGGCTGAGGAAATGGAGGAGCCGTCGGACACTTTGTTCAATGTCTTGTTCTCCTCGGCACCGGACCGTGTGGCCCTAGCTCTCCACCAGGGGGTGACCAATATCTTGACTTCGCTTTGGCAAACCCCGGCGTCCTTGGCACCTATTTCTAAAAAGGCGGAGAGAAAGTACTTTGTGCCAGCAAAGGGGCATGAATATTTGTACTCTCACCTGGCACCCAACTCTCTGGTGGTGGAGTCTGTAAACCACCAAGAGAGGCATGGCCAACCCACCCCCACCCCCAAGGATAAAGACACCAGGAGACTGGATACCTTCGGCAGGAAGGTTTATTCATCGGCAAGCTTCCAGCTCAGGGTGGCAAATCACCATGACCTCCTGAGCCGGTATGATTTTAACTTGTGTGTGGGGGGGGGGGGGGGTCTGCCAAAATTCAAACCTCTTCTTCAGGAAAACGACAAGAAGGAGTTCAGAGCTTTGGTTGACGAAGGCGCCGCGGCGGCGAAAGCCGCCCTCCAAGCGGCTTCGGACACGGCAGATACAGCAGCGCGTTCGATGGCCTCGGCTGTTGCCATGCGCAGGGCGTTGTGGCTCTCGCTGTCAGGACTGTCCGCGGAGTCCCAGTCCCTCATGCAGGACTTGCCTTTCGACGGGAAAGCCCTGCTTGCGGATCAGACAGACACCCGTCTGCACGGGATGAAGGACTCCCACACCACCCTGCAAACTCTGGGCCTATATGTCCCACCAGCTAAGGACAAACCCAGGCCACAGACCTCGGTTCCTCCGGCTAGAGGCAGATATGAGCCCCCGCCTAAGAGGCCGAGGGAGCAGAGACGCAGGTCCTAGCGTCAGTCCTGCCCGGCCCAGCGACCTGGGAAGAGGCGCTTTTGACACTTTGAGGGGGGCCACCGGGCCTGTTGCCAGGGTAGCCCCCAGTTAATAAAGTTTATGTTCTGCAACCGTTTATCTGCCTTCCGAGTGCAGTGGTCCCGTATAACGTCGGACCAGTGGGTCCTCAGCACCATTTCCAAGGGCTACATGTTGCAGTTCGCTTCGTCCCCCCCTCCCCAACGCCTGCCCCCGGGGACCCGGAGCACGTCCTCCTAGACCAGGAAGTGACGCGCCTCCTCATCCTAGGTGCGGTGGAGAAGGTACCTCGGGAATTTGGTTTTTACTCCCGGTATTTCCTGATCCCGAAGGCAAAAGGTGGGCTCAGGCCCATCCTCGACCTGCAGAACCTCAACCAGTTTATGGTCCATTACAAGTTCTGTATGGTTTCCCTGGCCACTATTATTCCATCCCTAGACCCGGGGGATTGGTTCGCAGCCCTGGACCTCCAGGATGCGTATTTCCACATGCATATTT